ATATCTATGTGCGTATATATATATATATATATATATATATATATATATATATAAAGAGAATTGTCAATATGAAGATAAAGGTGGATTGTCAATAAAGAATATGCGTTTTACCGGTTTTCTTTTTAGAGTGTTGACTGCGAACGAAGAAAATCAAAAATTTGTTTTTCTTTTTTTGTTTCTTTCTGTTGGAGTGTCACCAGTAATATCCTTTCTACTCCTGTTGCTGGGGTGTATCTGCATCTTTTTCATTATTATCATTATTTGTTGCAGGTATTATTCCGAGTATTATTACTTAGTGGTGTTATTATTATTACTATTATTGTTATTATTACTATTATTAGTATTAGTATTAGAATTAGTATGAGTATTAGTATCAGCAATCGTGTTAGTTATTATTATTTATTTTTATTACTAGTATTTATATTAATATTATGTTAGCTCATGTGAACAGCAAGGCAGCTGCAGTTAATTAGATATCTCTTCACTGAAACGGCGTTTTATTATTTTTAAACGGATTTTCCTTGGCTTTTTTGGTGCAAATTATTTGGCTAAGCGTTCGGGGGGTTTCGCTTCGCGTGTGGCAGTAAATAGTGAAAGAAAAAGCCCTGAGTTTGAAGAAAAGGGTAAGAGAGGGAATTTAAACGAAAATAATGGAAATAATGATAATAATAATCATAATTATAATGATAAAAAGAATAACAAAAGGAAAACGAAGGAAACTCGATTCAAATTCATCGTAGAGGCTTACAGTGGTACTTGCGGTGGAAATCGATGGGTTGGGGGATGGCGGAGGAATTTTGTGTTTTTTGTTGCTATTTAAAAGTAATATACATTAATTCTGAGCATATAAAAAAGGTAATGCATATTAATACATGGGTAGAATAGTGAAGAAGTTTTCGTTTCTGGAGAAGGAAGTGAATGCCTGTTTCGGAACGATAAGAATTTGGGGTGTACAGACAGCTCAGCTTGCGCGGAAGGAAACGGTGGAATACGGCTTAAATTAGAAGAAAAAGAAGGTGATTATTGAGTTTTAAATTGTTAAATGCTATTTGTTTGCAGTTTATTCAAACTTTTGCATTATTTCGCACAAACTACCCCCTGAACCCGCGGCATTCTCCCCCGGCAAGGCTCCGGTTCCGCTGATGGTATTACCATCGGTTGCTTCTGCATTTATTCTCTTCTTTTTCAGGCGTTTTTTTCCTGTTTTTTTATTAAATTAATTTTAGTTTACCTTTAAAACAAGCCAGAAGTTGCGTCTGTGCCCCATGATGCCAACGCTGGAGGTGTATTTAAATATCTATAAAATCAATGGATCCCCCGATTGCTGCGCCCCCTGCGGTTTATACCACACAAGTGAGTGAGATTTTTATCTTTTATTATTTGTTTTCAGTCTTTTTATTCGTCTATTTACTGTTCTTTGAAAGACTATAGCAACGTAAACAGCCGCATTTGCAGCGATAAGCTGGCTGTACATACAGCGCAGGTGTTGTACAGAACCAACAATTTGCTCTTAGCGAAACACTGAGAGCTCCAAGGTGTACAACTTTGTAGAATATTCGATTGGAATCGCTCATAATTCCTTTTTAATATATCTTCTTCTTCATTATTGTGCATTGTTTGCAAAGCCTCTGCTTCCAGTTGTTGCATTATCTTTCTGTTATATGTTTCCCCAGAGTGTATTTGTTGTTCTTGTTTGAATATCGCATATATATACATATATAAAAAAATAATATATATATATATATATATTGTAGCCCTACATATACACACATGTATATAGTACATATCTACATATATACATTCATAATATACATACAAAATATACATATATATAGTATATATATGTTATTTGTGTGTGATGTTCAGGTGTACAAATAGGAGAATTAGAGTACAGCTTCGGTGAACAATCGGGTGTAATTTGTTCTCAGCAAAACCCTCGAGTAGATGGGCGTCATAGTTTTGTAGAAGGTGTATATGAATACAGTTTATATATGGGTCCTTGTCTATTATCTCTTGCGGAGCTTCACAGCACAATTAAACATCTTCAAAGAGCATTTCCTGCTTCTTCTTACCACCTACTTCATAATAATTGCAATCATTTCAGCGACGCCCTGCTACGTGCAGTCGTTAAGAAGGGCATTCCTGCGCATATTAACAGAGCAAGTAGATACGGCAGCTGGCTAAGGTGAGGCTTATACTTCTATATAAATATAAATATAAATAATATTAATATTCATAATATTAATATAGATATAAATATAAATGTAAGTATAAATAACATAAATATAAATATAAATATAAATATAAATGTAAATAAATTAATATGTATATGTATATGCATATGGATATGTATATGGATATGTATATGGATATGTATATGTGTATGTATATGTACATGTATATATATATATATATGTATATATGTATATGTAAGCAAAATTAAACAAAACGAAATAAAATAAAGCTGAGTTAAACTGAAGTAGAGGTATTTGTATCTGTGCGTTATGTTGCAGCTGTCTGCTGCCAGCAGTCTTTCAATACAGCACAAGCGATGCCTCTTCAAAGCAAGTAGAAGGAAGAGCCGATTCGAGTGTATCTACTCAAGTGTTTACAGGGCGAGCAAACCGTTTAACTTGCAGCAGCGTAGAAAGCGCAGTAGAAACTATTAAAAATATTATTTTTCAGGGCAGCTGCTTCTATAAAGAAGACCAAACAGACGCCTCAATCTATGACGACGAAATACACATTTGCAGTACGTTTTAACGTATATATATATATATGTATATGTATATATATACAACTCTATATACAAATATATAGATATATACGTATGTGTGTGTATTATATGGTGTATAATAATGCATATAATGCTTATACAAGAATAAACATATATATATATATATATACATATACATTATATGTATATATATATTCTGTTAAGCGAATGTATACGCACTTTAAAAACAATATGGTTTTGCTTTGCTGTTTAATATTATTTTATATAATTTTGTTCTTGAAATATTTTTTTTGTGTTTTGTTTGTCGTCGGTTTATTTAATAGTATTTCTTTCGTTTAGTTTAAAAACTGCTGTTTTATTAATTGCTGGTGTTTGTGTTGTTGCTCTTTAATTTATTTTCTTTTTATTTTTTTTATTGTTTTTATTGTTTTTATTGTTTTTTCTTCTTATTAGATTGGGCTGCGCGTCTTCTTCTGCTTGATTTTGTTTGTTTATTTTTCTCTTTATTATTATTTTTTGCTCTGTATTTATATTTGTATTTGTTTGATGTTATTTGTTTTATTTTATTTCTTTTTCGTTCTTCTTGCATTTTGCTTCGCAGCTCGAAACAACACGAGAGAGCTGCTGGCGGAGGCAGACAGAGAGAGAAGAAGACGACAAACATCTTTGAAAGCCTCTTCTTCTTCTTCTTGAGGGTTTAGGGTTTAGGGTTTAGGGTTTAGGGTTTGGGCCCTGAACAGCAAGAGACGAGACGCATTCATATAGACGTCTTCTTCGCGTTGTTGAGGGTTTAGGGTTTCAAGAAAAAGAAAGAGAAATACTTATTTTCTTCTCTTCTACTTGGGGTTTAGGGTTTAGGGTTTAGGGTTTAGGGTTTAGGGTTTACGAAGGGAAGCAAACACTGAAAATGAATGAAGATGTTTGTTAATGCTTCTTTTCTGTTTTTGTTTGAGAAAAAGAGAAAAGAACAAAAACTCAAATAAGCAAAGTCAGTTATATAAATATATAATTACTCTTTATATAAACCAATGCATGCATTAAAAACAACAAATATATATATATATATATATTACATTTAAATATTATACTGAAATCTTTAAATGTATACAATGTATTTAACTGCATTATTTAAATAATCTATTTAAATATTGCATAAGATATATATATATATATATATTATATCATATATTTAAATATTATATTTAAATATATATACCTATATATGCATATATATACATATATATATATATATATACGTATACATATATATATATATATACATATATATGCATGCAATACAAGACCTGAAAAGAGAAGAAGGCATCAGTATTCTCTTTCTGTGTTTTGTTTGCTCCGCGGCCGCCCCACATAAATCTTTTTTTATTTTCTTTTTTATTTTCTTTTTTGTTTTCTTTCTTTTTCTTTTTGTAGTATAATAAACATCCGATGGGGCATACAAAACTCTTTATTATTTAAATACAAAAAAAAACAATTTAAACAATTTCTACGTATAGCTGGACGTCTCTATTATTATTATTATTATTATTATTATTATTATTATTATTATTATTATTATTATTATATTATTAGCATTATTATTAGGGTTTAGGGTTTAGGGTTTAGGGTTTAGGCGTATGAAGAATCTGCCTATGAGTAGATGCAGCATTCAAACAATGAAGAGAGGGCTTACTAAGAAACAAACAAACAAAACAAACAAACATACAAGCAAACAAACAAAAGAATAAAATTAATACAGACAAACAAACAAATAAACAGACAAGAACGAATGCAAACAGGCAAGCAAATAAGCGAATATAAAGCAAACAAACAAACAAAACAGATAAACAAACAAACAAACAAACAAAAATAAACGAAAATAAACAAACAAACAATCAAACAAACAAATCGAAGAAGAACGGGGGGAGTATTGCCTCGACAAGCATAAAAATATTCACCGAATATTAATATTAATATAAACATTTATATTAATATTAATATTTATATTATATTTTTTATTTTGCTTTTACTCAAGAAACGAAGATACTGCATTCTTATATATATATATATATATATTATATCGAAGAGGGGGGCCCCCCCCCCTCTGCCGGGGCCCCACAAGGATCATCAAGTAAATACATTTTTCTTCTTCTTCTTTCTGCTTTTATGTTATTTATTATTTTTTAGTTTTATTTTATTATTAATTTTCGTTCATCTCATCACAAAGAAAACCAGACCGACATCAGGGGGCCCCTCAATCGCCGCCATAGCAAAGGAGGGGCCCCCCAACATTAAAAAGGGGTACAGTAGGGGGGCCCCCAACTTAAAGAGGGTACAGTAGGGGGCCCCCACCTTAAAGAAGGTACGGGGGAGGGGGGCCCCCACCTTAAAGAGGGTACAGCAAGGGGCCCCCCATATTCAGGAAGGTACAATAGGGGGGGCCCCCTATATTAAAAGGGTACAGTAGGGGGGGCCCCCTATATTAAAAGGGTGAAGTAGGGGGGCCCCATGGCTTCCCTCATTGCTGCAGCCCTCCAACTGAGGGCACAGGCAGCAAAAAATGTGAATCTGCAGAATACGCCGGGGCAGCAGCAGCAGCAGCAGCAGCAGAAGCAGCAGCAACAGCAGCCAATGCAGCCTAAGCAGCAGCAACAACATCAGCAGCAGCAGCACACGAAACAGCTGAAGCAGCAGGATGTAACAAGCCAACAGCAGCAATGGCAGACGCAGCAGCAGCAGCAGCAGCAGCAGCAGCAGAAAAAAAGGAAGCAGCAGCAGAAGCAGCAGCGACAGGAACACTTACCACAGCAGCAAAAGCAGCAGCAGCAACAGCAGCAGCGCCAGCAAAATCAGGCGACTCAGCAGCCACAGCAGCAGCAGCAGCAGCAAATGCAGCAGCAGCATCGGCAAGAGCAGCAACAGCACCCCTGCCAGCAGCTGCTGCAGCAGCAGCAGCAGCAGGGAGTTGCTGGTGCTGCGAGTTTGCAGCAGTCTGTGATCGTGCAAGATAATAGAAAAAGAAAAAGGAAAAAACAAAACAGAGGCGCAGCAGATGAAGAGAGGCCGCTGCATGCAGCACAGAGGACAGCGGAGGCCTCCATGCAACAAACGGCAGCAAGCCCAGCACAGCAGCAGCAGCAGCAACAACAACAGCAGCAACAGCTGCTGCAGCAACCGCAACAGCAGCTACACCTGCACTCCCACCAGAAACCCCAGAAGCAGCAGCAGCAGCAGCAACAGCAGCATCTGCAGCAACCGGAGGAGCACCACCTGCAGCAGCAGCAGCTGCAGCAGCAGCAGCTGCAGCAGCAGCAGCAGCAGCAAAAACAGGCTATCCAGACGCAGCAGCAGGTTAGCCAGACGCAGCAGCAACATGCTGCTGAGCAGCAGCAGTATGTAGTGGATGCTTGTGGGCAGCAGCAGCAGCAGCAGCAGCAGCAGCAGAAACCAGCGGTGGAGGCGCAGCAGCAGCAACCGATGCCACTGCAGCTGCAAATACCTCAGCAGAAAGAGCTGCAGCAGCAACAGCAACTGCAGCAACAGCAGCAGCAACGGAGAGACTCACAGCAGGAGGAGCAACAGAGGAGTTGGCGGCTGCTGCCTCAGACCGCTCAACATCAGCAGCAACAGCAGCAGCAACGACAGCAGCAACGGCAGCAGCAACAACAGCAGCAACAGCAGCAGCGGCCACAGCAGCAACAGCAGAAGCTTCAGCTGCAGCAGCAGCGGTGGCATCAGCATCAGCAGCAGGAGCGAGCAGCTCAGCATTCTTTATTTACGCCGCAGCAAGCGGGGGCTTTGCAAGAGAGTTTTATAACCCTGCAGCAAGAAGCAGCAGCTGCACCAACTGCAGCAGCAGCAGCAGCAGCAAGAGGGAAAGCTGCGGTGCTGCTGCTGGGGGCATCAGCGCGGCGGCTAGCAGCAGTCGCTCCGCATCTTTCAGCTGCTTATACGTATGCACATATACTACCTTCTTATTTGCTGCAGCAGCGGCAGCAGCAGCAACAATAGCAGCATCAATAGCAGCACTAATAGCACCGGTAGCAGCAGCAATAGCAGCACCACCAGTCGCAGGAGCAGCAGGAGCAGGAACAGCAGCAGCAATAGCAGTTGCTACAGCAGTGGCCGCAGAAGCAGCAGCAGCAACAGCAGCAATATCAGCGAAAGCAGCAGCAACAGCAGCAGCAACAATAGCAGCAGCAGCAGTAGCAATAGCAGCAGCAGCAGCAACAATAGCAGCAGCAGCAACAATAGCAGCAGCAGCAGCAGCAGCAACAGTAGCAGCAGCAGCAGCAGCAGCAGCAACTTGTTGGTGTTGCTGCGATTTTGTTTGCAGGCGACGGGCCGAAGAAATGGCGCAGCACTGCGGCATCGGTAATTGAAATAAAAATAAATTTATTTTTTATGCATTTGTTTATTTATTTGTTTCTCAGTCTCTG